CTTCACTGAGTTACGCAAGCCCCTTCGCCACGACAAGGCAGTGATCCATGAAGGGGACTGAGTTGGTAGTCACCACCATTCATGGTAAATTTCCTGCTATGCTATTAATGTTTCTGTGAGAGCCCTTTCACCTTCTTCTGATCTTGAGAGGCAGGACGACTGTGTGTGCACTACAATAACAGTGCTCCTGCTGTGATTTTTTGTTTTTTATCTTACATAGTGCATGGGGAGAGGCCAACACTGTATGCTGAAGCTGTATGTGCATCAGATGTCTGCATCTTTGATTGAAGTACGTGCTACAACATGACATCTTATTGTAATTCAGGTGCACTGTGAGCTTTACAGGAATGAATTCCTTTGTACTAGGGCACAAAGTGTTTTGTCTTGCTGACACGATCTTCTTCCACATTTTCATGACATGATAGGCAGTGGGCCTTCAGCCAAGCACTGTAAATAGGACCTACAAGGGCATTGGACAATGTTTTTTTGACTTGAGTGCATCAAGTCACTTTCCTAGAAGTTCCCCTCTATTTCTCTGTAATATATATTTATATCATATTGCAGGCTGAATTCTCTTCAACTAAAAGCTGACTGCACCAAATCTGTATTTTTATCCTGACTACAGAACACATCTTAAATCTCTCTCCCTCCCTCTCTCTTTCTAAAACACACAGCAGTCATTTAATGCAGTGAATGGAATCAGTGGCAACTCTTTAGAACCCAAAATGTCAACCATAAATGTATGAGCCAGAAATTTAAGCATCAGATGCACTATATGGTCTCTCAAGGGGAAGAGTTAGTATAAGGCAGCTTCTGTGAATTACAACCTTATTGTTTTTCAGGAAAGAGTTTCAAAACAGTACATTGACTGTAGGAATTAGCTTCCATATCTTAGGCTGAAACCTTTTGGATATTGATACAGAATAAATCCCACTGTGCCTTGCTTGTGAGTAAATATGCATCAGATGGGGCTGCCTGCCAAGCAATAAAAAATATCTAATACAGTGGAAAGCTGCACAGTAGCATCAAACATGTTATCACTGTCAGAAGAAAAGACTTTCAGAGAAGCCTTACAGAAATGAGAAATACAAATACTCAGCGGAAACTTCAATGTTACACATGGGCTTCAGGAGGTTAAAGCAAACTTAGCACAGGCATACCACGCTTAAAGCATTACTACATAAACTACCTCATGAGGTGGAAATGCAGCTTCATATGTTCCATTGCTCAGCAACCTGTTAATGCCTAAACAGAGAAGATGTATTACAAATCTTTGAATTGTTAAAAGTTACTCTGCATCAATATTAAAGTAAGTAGTGGCCAAACAATTTTCTTTAAACATTAATAAAAATATAGATATGAAACCTGTTTCCAAGTCTGGAATCACATTAGCTTAAGATAATCTGAGGACTATTATTTTAGGACCTTATTATCTCACGGTTTTTCAGCAAATTTGTTCTACGGTAAGCCATGTAAGGACCAATCTTCTGCTCATTATCACGACTGAGATTAACCTTCCAAGTATTGATCTGATCCACATTCATGCGTTTTGACTCTGATCATATTGACAAATGGCCATATACAAAGGAAAATAGTACATAGTTCTGTGTGTATATGTACATGTGTTTTAACATGACTTGAAACATCAATGGAAATAATTAATCTGTCTCACCACAGCCTAAACACAGCTCACATTCTAAGGTTTGGTGAATTCTGCCTCACAATGGTAGTATCAGCTGACATCCAAGGATCAAAAAGCAACTTTGCTAGAAATGCTTGACCACAACAAGCCAATCCTCTTGATGCTAATTTTTCTGACATCTACTTGTAGTAGAAGTAATAGTAGAGTGCATGTACTTCTCACAGAACTTCAACATCAAAAGAAAGTAGATCATGTTGGACATATTTGGAATTTTCTCAGGATCAGACAAACTGATAAGAAGCTGCCAAAATCTGAAACTTGTTTTCAGTTTCCATTTGCCAGCTGGAATATGACATTTTGAAGCAAGCTCTTCATAAAAGGGAAGCAACAAGCAGGGAAAAGTTGGAGGAAGAATTTGGTAAGTTGTAAGCTACAACTTACAACCAGAGAATCATTTTTATCCAAGTGTTCTTTCTCTCTCTTTTTCCTTCTGAGCACAGTGTTTAGGGGAGGAAATCAAACAGACTTATTAGAAATTGTTTTTATAACTTCTGTTTGGCCACAAAAGCAATGGGCAGAAACAGTTTGAGATACTGAAAAATGCTTTAGAAAGCAACACTTTCTGGGAAGTGCTATGGATTTCATCCTTATAGAATAGCTTGTTTCTTTAATTCAGAAACATTTCTATTATTCACTAAGCAATTTTGATTGGCTTCTTATTATGGTATATGAACTTATCTTTTTCTTTTTGCTCAAGTTGGCATTAGGCAAAGAGTCTTAGACCCTTAGTCTCCCAACCATGGTTGTTTCTTGGCTGTTGGTGACTTTTATTAAATGTGGTGGCCCACTGCCCATGTCAGGAAGGATCACACCACCAATGATTTTTTCAGCAAGTAAGGTTGCTAAGGCACTAGAAGAAGTGGAGGAGCAGAGAATGGGGGTAAATCCTGAATGAGCACACAGTGAGGGAGAATAGAGACCAAATATTATCTTACCTGTATCACATTTGCCAGGAGACTCTGGTAGAGGTGCAGGAGCGCCTTCAGCTATTTTGTGTGTGTACATAGGCCTGTGTTGCAGAGTTGACTGCTGCCATTGTGGACACATGGACACTTTGGGACAGCACAGACAACACTGAAGACCAGGCTGGTGGGGCGTTGCCAACCCTGCAGCAATCTCCTGTGCATCTGGTCCTGTACTGTGACTCTGTGGAATATCTGGGAGGACTCTGAGTGTGTCTGGAGGGTGAGGGCTCTAGTACTGTGGCATAAGAAGGGTATATAATTTGGTATGTGTGGGTGGCAGGGGCAGCAGCTGAGCAATATTTTGATAGTGAGTCTGGAGGTTTGATTAGTTGTGTACATTCTGGCTACAAAAAGAGGCAGGCTGCTCAACTCTGGCAGGAGGGGTTGAGTGTAGTCATATCCTTGTAATATTGAATCAAGGGAGATTTGGCACAGAACATAAGGTGGGCTGTTAGAGGGGAAGGGAAGCTTCCAATGTAGTGGCAATCTCAACTTTCAAATTAATGGCTCCATACTGGGGACACGTGGCCAGATCTGTTTGCAGTAAGACCACCTTCATACAGGACTTGATGGCAGATGAGTCAGCACACCTGGCACAGATTACTGAAACCTGGCTGGCCAAGAGCAGTGATGCCCCCATGTCCAAAATCTGCTCAGTGAGATATCGGATCCTTCAGCAGGCTTGATGCCAAGGTCAGGGAAGGATGGTAATGGCCTTGATTGTATTCCTGAGATAGTGGCATATAAATGCTGATATGTTAGGTTGGGCTGTAAAGACAAGCCTGGGATCCTACTGTTGTATATGAAGGACTGTCTTCTCCAACCTATATTGGCATGACCTACTAAAGCATTGAGAGAGAGAAACTCCTCACAGTCCCATGCTTCATGGAGATGAGCGTAACCAAAGCTAGAAGATGCTGCTTCTCAGTGCCAGTGCCAGTGCTGTGGAATGGTGGAGATCAGACTAGGCCCTTCCTTGATGGCTTCAGATGTTTGTTAAAAACAAAGTATTCCAATGATGCTCACCTACTGCACCATCTTTTACTTGTTGTGGGTTGTTAATGTTATGGTGTTACTATTTTGTTTAGTTTGTTTTAATCATAGTACTGTGGATGCTTTAATTATTTTTACATATCTTGTAAACTGCTGAGAGTTTAGCACAATGTAAATTCAATAAATAAATAAATAAATAAATAAACACTGAATCTTCATATTCTGTTCCATATCCTTCCCCCTCCCCCAATCTTTTCTGTCTAATTACTAATACAAAAATACCTATTTCTGCTAAAGGCATTACCTAAGTACACAATAAATAATAGAAAACATGCACATGTCAAAGACAATCAGGAGTGAAGGAAGTTGTGAAAGTATAGCTTGTAGATAATTTATTTCCTTATTTACTCAAAAATAAGCACTGGGGCTCAGTCCTGATTTTGATAATTCCCACTGTTGTCCCAATATGAGTCATCTGTGTCTGGGATTTTCATTATTGACCAAACATTTTTTACTGGGAGAATTGAGTTGGTAACAACAAGAATTCCAACACTTGTATTATTATATTAAAATGAATTTGTACCCATTTTTGGTTTTCCATCTTCATACTTTGTTCTCTGTAGCATATGGTGCACTATCCTACTCCTTGTAGAGTTGCTGAAGAAGCTGTCTTTGTTGTTTATCGTAAAACTGTTGAAGACACAGTTAATATCAATTAATGTTGGAAACAGCTGTCAACCTCCCAGCATGAAATATTTCTCATAATGAATAAAAAAATATCAAATTTCAAATATAGATCCTGACATGTTTAGTTTTATTTATGCCATGTTGAAGCTGTTTAAATATGTTATAGTAGAAGAATCAAATACAATCAAACAAACAAAATATGCTTTGCTCAGAGAACTTGAAACAGTTGCTTGAATTAAGCTACCATGCAATGGAGCAATCACATCTTAAAACAATTATCAGTTCAAAGCACTAAACTGAATCTTATGTTTTTTAACTGTTATGAAGGATGATTTAAGAAAGTCAACACTAGATGAGTGGAACCAGCTTCTGATCAATGCAGCTGAAAATCATTCTGTAACTTATTTCTGAATATAGGCTCCAGCATTTTTAGAATATACTTTCCATTCAGTTTCAACATCACACATCTGTTAGTGGTGACTGTTGTTATGTTAGCTGCTGAGAAAAAAAGGAAATATTATTGCTGGCCTCCTATGAATATATTTTAAGTCCACCACATACTGGTGAATACGTGCTCGGCTGAAAGGAGCTGTGTAGCAATCTGTTTCTTCCAGGTCGGGAAGTGCTTCTTTATCAAGTTTCATTGGATTTCTGGGCAACCAGCTTTTCAGTTCCCTCATATTCCTCTGGAAACTGGAAAGAAAACACATTCTTTTATTACCATATGTCTCCTGTAGCTTTCATTATATATTTGGCATGCTGAAATGGATACTGGAAGGACAATGCTAGACTTCAAATCAATAAGGAATAGTCACCCAGTCTCTAAAACTGTTTCTCATCTAAAACAGAACAAGTGACAGATATACAAAGTCTGTAAGATGAAGTGATGAAAATAATTATAGTTTCTAACATAATTCTAATGAGGGAGGGGAGAAGAAGGGAAAAGACCAGCAGGAATGCTCTAAAATAGCCTTTTCCAGCCTGGGTGCCCTCCAGATGTGTAGACTCCAGCTCCTGGAATTCCTCAGGCAGCATGGCCAGTGATGGGAGTTGAAAACCACATATGTGTTTGAAGCCCAGTTTAGGGAAAGATTCTCCCAAGCAATACATGTAAGGACTGAACAATGTTCCACTGAAGACTGAACTAGAACATACACAAAATGAATGTCATCCTGCTCCATTTTCTCATTATTTAGTTAATTGTACACAAAAAGTACCCCAATCTGGATTGGAATTAGTGCCAGTGGGGACTACGAAGTCTAATATTTCCTTGCTCTGGCCCCTCCCTACATCACCAAGAAGTATTAAGATCTTTACATAGAATCTGATTGATATGTATGGTGTCAGTGCATTGCTGCTACTATTTCAAATTAAAGCTAGTCATCTTTAATAGCATGAAGGGGAATCCATGTTTGAATGTCATGTGATGTCTGGAATCCTGTGAAAAATATTGAAAAGGACAGTAATGGTAGCAGAAGGATGAAATGCAAGCTTGCTTTCTGTTAATTTAGGGAAGGGGAGTCATTCAGGAGAGTAGGTCCATGCTTCCCCAAATTGATGGCACAACTTAAGGCCCTCTCCAACAATCGTAAATGCTCTGATGCTTAACAGACATTTAAGGATGTCCTATAGCTACTCACATGCTCCTTGGCAATTCAGCTAAATAGATCAGGCAGACTTAGCTTTAATCAATAGTTGTGGCATGAAAACTCCACCAGTCTTAATAAATGCTTGGTAATTAAAAAAGAGAGAGAAAATATGCCAAGAAAATATTGGAAAAGGTAAAATGTCTAATAATAAAAAAGAATCCTATTTATCACATAAATTTAGTGTCTGATTCTGAAAGAGAATTTATTTTTATTTGCAATCTATATCCTGTTAAAATCAGTGCTAGGAATCGATAAATTTAATATTACATCCATAGGGTCTATATGACATTTGACTGTGCTTCCTTGTGGAACATTTTATGTAATGATTCATGTCCCAGTGAAAGAAGTCCATGGTAAGCAGGCTAGAAACTGGGAGACTGTGAGTTCTAGTTCCACCTTAGGCACAAAGGCAGCTGGGTGACCTTGGGCCAGTTACCCTCTTTCAGCCCTGGGAAGAAGGCAAACCATTTCTGAAATCTTGCCAAGAAAACTGCAGGGACTTGTTCAGGCCCAAAGCAAACAACCCCCCTCCCACAAAAAAAAAAAAAACACCTTAAGAAAGCATTAGGTGCATGACCAAGATATCTATGGGTGCATAGGTGGAGGCTAGTAGGTAGGCTGGCTGACTTGGTTCTGGGTGCTGAATGCCTTGCAAAAGCACTCGGGTACCAAGACTGGTCAACTATTTTGGAAGATTATCATCTAATTCTAGTGTGTGATGGGGCCCTTTGATCTGGAGGAGGGAAGTCAAAGATCAGGTTGGTAGGTTTTCTAAGAGAGACAAGGCAACAAGCAGAGACATAATAGATGTAATGTGTATAGGGAGATATGTCAGGAAAAAGGTGGTGGGCTGACTACAGGTAAGGTGTCCTTGGTCCTTGGTCCTGATGCTGTGTTCCAGTCTCTTGTGCTCAGCATTGAGACCTAGTCATTGGAGCTTTGGTGGCCCTGATTTTCATCTGCTGTTACTTACTGATCAGTCAGTTTCTAATAAGCCTTACCTCAACCTTGATTAATAGTGAAATGGTATGCATTACTGAAATGTACCTAGGTAAGAAGGGGGGTGGGTTTCCCCTCACAGAAATGTGCCTACTTGGGTGTGGCACCAAGTGAGACTTTGGGGGAGGGGAGGAAGTGTAATTATTGTCATCTAGGAGGCTCTGGTCATGTCCTGGTCATTGCTCCACAAACAACCAGAGGTGAGCTTCTCTTTCTGCTGCTAGTATACCAATCTCCCTGCTTTGCAGCTACCCAAGCTGCTCAGGGCTGTGGTCAAGTTGGTGGTAGAGTTCCCCTGACTGATGGCTCAGTGGGACTTCAACTTGCCTTCTCTGGAACTGGAACCAAAGGTGGCTCAGTAGTTCATGGCCACCATGGACTTGATTCAAGTTACTGATGGCCCAACTCATAGTGGAGATCACACATTAGATATGGTTTTTGTCTCAAGGCAGTAGTGGTATCATCTGGATTTGGGGGATGTTGTTGTCAGTCAGTTCTTATGGACAGATCACTCCCTGCTAGCCTCTTAGGGAGGAAATACCACTTTGATTGGTCTATTGCAGGTACCTGAAGGACCAGTCAGTTTCCATCAGGAATTTGGGGTAGCCCCTGGTTCTTTTGCATAGCTTGACCAAGTCCTTACTCATTGCTTGGAATAAGCAGGCAACGGCAGCCTTGGACTGGATCATCCCGGTGTAGGCTTCCCATGTGCGTGGATCCCAGAACCCCCCCTGGTTTTCATAGGAAATCCAGGAGATAAAACAGCCTAAGGGGAGTCTAAATTGTCTCTGGAGAAAGATGACAAGCAAGTCTAACTAAGCACAGGCCAGATCCTTTACTAAGGATCACCTTGTGATGGTAAGGGTGGAGAAATATACTTATTTCTCCACTCTTATTGCACCCACAGATAGATTGTCCCACAAGAAACCTGGCCCCATGTCATGTAGAGCTTTAAAAGCACTTTAAATTGCCCCTGAAAGCCTACTGGGAGCCAATGCAACTCACACAGCAGCAGTATTATGTGAGTGTACCATGGAATGCCCAATACTGCCCATGCTGCTGCATGCTGGACCAGATGAAGCTTCCAAATGCTCTTCAAGGGCAGCCCCATGTAGAGTGTCCTGCAATAGTCCAGATGGGAAATGACTCATGCATGAGTGACCATGAGCAGTGCCTCCCATCTAGAAATAGGAGCAACTGGTGCACAAGATGTAATTGTGCAAAGGCTATCCTGGCCACAGCTGCCACTTGTCCTCATACAGGAGCCACAAGTCCAGGGAGACCCCCAGGTTGTGCACTAATTCTGCCTGAGGGAGTGTTACCCCACTCAGTTAATGATGGAAGATCATTGGAATTCTGAGTACCTTTGATAACAATTATAATAACGTGTAGAACAAGGAGAGGCCTTTAATGTCTGCAGTAACAAATGCAATGACTTTGTCAGAGCTACTGAAAAGGAAGCTAGGAGTGAATACTTGTCCTTCTAATCCAGTTTTCATGGTAGGAAAGTCATGGGTTCTTCAATGAACTTGGTGTACAGTGTATCCTTTTCACACTGGCTAAAATGTCACTGAAGATCATGACTGCATTTTTCTCATGGGAACCAGTGCAGTTGTCTATACCTACTCCCTATATCTTCACCTTCACTGTCCAAAAGAAGGGTTTAGTTGCCTTCAAGTAGTATAAGTGGGTGGTAGATGCTGACAGTCTTAATATTTCTTCAAAAAATCATTAGAAGTACATCAATTTATATTCATTGGTCAAACTGATGCCCTCTTCTGGAGAGATTTACAAGAACGCACCTCTGTCTTAAAATACAAGAGGCAGTATATATTGTGACAGAGTGAACAGAACAGAACAGAGCAAAACAAAACAATACCCCACCAACAAGGCCTTGCTGCATCTGTAAGTATAGCTTCCTACAAAAGTGTTTATATTTTCAAGCAGCAATGGAAAGAGAAAGTTTTTTTTAGTATACAAATACATTAATTCTTCTATTTTGCTAAAAAAAGGAAAATAAAGAATCCTGTTATCCAACTTCCCCAACCTTCTAGCTTTCATATTTCATGATTATGCTGTCATTCATTTGATTCAGAAAAAATAGACATTTTCCCTCATAGTCCAATTGTGAAAAGCAAAGCTACTATTGTAAATTTAAAGTGAAAATACAGTTTGTATATATACATATAGTATCTTCAAAACAACAAAATTAATGTTTTAATAATGACAAGCAAATTTATATAGCCACCAAATGTGAAATGATTGCAAACTGCAAATGGATCCTTTTAATTCAGTCAGAATAAACTTTGGTTACAAGTGTCAAATAGATATCATTGTGTATGAATATTCATATTTATCCATTTTAAGCCTCTGCATTTGTATTTTAAAGTGGCTGGTGCAATTTTTGTAAATTAGGTCTATGTCAGAAAATATCAATGCAAATTGATAAGAATATGAAAGAAAGACTTTTGATCAGACCTCTAGATGCATTGGCTAGAAGTTTTCATTCTGGCAGTATGATAAAGGTGAGTTGTCATTTCTATGGACTTATAGCCATCAACCTGAATGACCTTAAACAAGGTTTAACAAAGTCATGGAGGATAAGGTTGCCAGTAGTGATATAGTAAATCCAGTGATATATTACTTCTAGTATCAGGGTTGAACAGCTGTTGGAGAAAGCTCTTTTACACTTGTTCAGCACGTGAACTTCCTAAGGAGTCCCTTATGGGAAAAGAATTGGGACTAGACAGGGTTTTGGTGTGACTTAACCCTGTTCTTCTGGAATAGAGTTGTTAATCTAGTTGCAGTTTATCTGTATATTACACTGCCTTTAAAATATAATGTAAGAAGCAACATTCAATTATTCCATTTATGAAAAAAAATGCTTAATCAATTTCTGTCCAACAAACAGCTGCTTGCAGCAGCCCCATATATGTAAAGAATTTATATATTGTAAAACAAATCCATCTTCGGAATCAATAGGAAGAAAATTGAAAATAAAATTGCAAATAACATGGCATGCTACAAATTAATGGTGTGACTATA